CGATTTTTTTCACGGTATCCACGGCGAGATATGGCGGGGTACCGCGGGATGCCGCGGGATACTGCGGGATACTGGGAGAGACCGGGAGATACCGGGAGAACGAGATCCACCACGGGAGATACCGCCGCGGATACGGGCAGATACGGCGCGGGCAGATACGGGCAGTCCAGATACGGGCAGATGGAGGAGAATACGCGGAGATAGAGGGAGATACGGGGAGATAGCGCAAAAGATCGTCCAGACTAGGCTCTAGGGCTTTTGGTCTCTCAGTCTCTCTCTCCAAATTCGCAAATTGGCGTCCATGGTCTCTCTCAGCTCTCACTGTCTCACATCGCTCTCCACACGACACAAATCACAATACTCTACCGTTTGGAATACACGCACGTGTATACGCCGCTCACGGTCACACCCGGCGCGCCGGCCAGGCCGGCCCCACCGCACCCGCGCGCGGCAAAAAAACTCAAAACGGACGCCAAAATCCATGTGTCCTGTGTGTGTCAAGCTCCGCGAGCCTCCAGGGGATTTAAGCGCTCCTGGCAGGAGCTCCTGGCACCTGGGGCGTACACAACGACGATGTGGTCTCGGCTGTGACGCGCTGTACACCTGCGGCATTTCTCTGACGAGCGAGTAATTGGAAAAGTAGAAACCTGAATAACACTCCAGAAACACTCCAACGGTCAGTGGGACATCGGTCGACGCAGCCATACCGGCTACCGTGTACGACGCGGCGCTCGAGCGCAGCTGATGACAACTCTCGTCTCTCGATCTCAGTACACCCCGTGCTGCACTCGCGCGAGACGCGGCCGCGTGATCCGCGGCCTCGGCTGTTCGATCGCCCCCGCGATCGGCCGAGCGGGTGGCCGAGCGGCGGCGCCGGCGGCCCGCCGCGATGGCCCTCCCCCGAGTCCACGGCGCTAGATCCCGCAGGTGGCGCATGGGCAAGTGGCGCCGTGTTCGGTGACGGTGGTAGCGCCGTCGGCCTGAAGGCTGGCGCGCGGACCCTCGAGCGCACGTTCACGTTGCGCTCGCGTGCCACCTCTGCCGCTGCTGCGGGCGGAATGAGCGCCTTCCACTCCTCCGGCGCCTTGCGATAGCACGCGTCCATGCGCGTCAAGTTGGCCGCCGCAGCGCTCTCCGGATCGCAGATTGGAAGCGGGTAGTCCACTCCCACGATGCAGCTCGCTGCACGCTGCACCGTGAGCGGCGCCTTCCACGGCTCATACACGTACTCGTCGGGCATCCGCCGCAGGGCTGGCAGCCACTTCCGCACGTACCTGCCGCTGCGGTCATACTTGCGCGCGAAGTGGGCCGTCGAGTAGACGCGGTGATAGGTGTAGAAGGAGGTGGCCGAGAGCCACATCCAGTTGGCGCTGTTGATTGCCCAGTCCGCATCCAAGAGGTGGCGGTCAAAGACGTTGCGCCCCGCCTCTCAATCGATCCATAGCTGCCCGCGCGTCAAGAAGCAAGCGACTACGTGGCGGAGCAAGTGGTGTAGCCAGCCGACCTCCTTCAGCTGCACCATGGCGGCGTCGATGAGCGGGACGCCCGTCGTGCCCCCCTCCCAGCGGCGGAGGGCCTCAGCCGCGTTGGCGTCTCTGGCGGGGTCGCGCCATTCCACCGTGAGGCACAGCGGGTTGTCGCGCGTCTGGCCAAAGTGCGGGCTCGAGGCGCTCAGAAGGTGAAAGAACTCCCGAAAGTAGAGCTGGCCGTGCAGCGACTGTGGCGGCGTCGTGTGTTGTCCCTCCGCCTGGCGCACGATGGCGTCGAGGGCAGCGTGCATTGTGCGGCACGAGAGGCAGCCAAGCGAGAGGTAGGGCGAGAGCATCGTCGTGCTGCCGGGCGAGTACGGGAGGGGATTGGTATCGGGCTTGGAAAACGCGCACACCCATCCGGCGCGGGCGCACACGGCGGCGTCGAGTCGCGCAAGGGCCGCGCTCTCGCCGCCGCGCAGCCTGCTCGATTCATCTGCGTCGCTCGGGGGCGCGTCAGTGTACCCCATGGCGCCGAGAGTGTCAGGCACGGTCATTGCAGCCTCCTCTTCCTCATTGAGGCCCGAGCCCCCCGCAGACAGGATCTTCGGAAGCCGCACGGGAGTCGGACGGGGCGCCGCGGGCGGGCCGACTGCTTCGATGAGGCGCAGGAAGTCGCTGTACTTGGTCGGGAGCGTGCATGATGGGCCACCGCAGCCCTCGCTAAGGCGCTCGATGTCGTACAGGTCCTGGCTTTGGTTTCACAACGCGTTTGGTCCTCGCTATGGTACGGCTCACCAGATGCGACAGGAGGGCTAAAATCCGGAATATAGACTGCCAAGAGGGTGCTCTAGGCCGCGAAGACACCACACACGGTCTCCCTACTCATGCGCGGCTAGCAGGAGGGTGCCAAAAATGAGGCGCGTTGTGAAACCGCAGCTGGCCCCGCCGACGGGTAGCACAGGTCATGAGTGAGGCCACGCCAGCTGCCTCGGGTGCTCTGTGTGGTCGGCCTGGACCTTGCCGCAAGCCTCGAGCAGCGGAGAAGCACTGTCCTTGAAGTCCAGACATGCTTCGCCGCCGTGGCGCAGCGCCGCAGTGCGAGCGAGCACTGCAGTGCAGTGATCGCTTGGACTGCGGCACCCATCGACTCCCTGCGCTCCGGGCACATTGGCACATGTGCCGGCGGCCTTGTGGATGGCTCGGACACGATCTGCACGATGGCGCGGCGTCGCGAGGCGGCCGTGTTGTGAAAACGAAGCTGTTGCGAAACCGAAGCCAGGACCTGTACAGTTTATATTCCTTTGTTAGTGCCAGTGCGCGCCAGTCCCGTGCCTAGTGTCCCGCAGTTTTTTCTTTGGCGACTATTTCTTTGTTTGTTCAGTGTTAGTGCCAATGCGCCTGTCTGGTATACGTGTAGCCCCAGCCGACTCCGTGAACTCTCGGATCTCGAGTTGCGGAGCTTTCTGCTGCTCGGTTAGGTTAGGTTCGGTTAGGTTAGGGAGGAAGGTGAAGAACAGTCAGGCTCGGACTGGACACCAGCGCGGTATGGGTGGACGCCCCGGGGCGAGACAGAGCTCAAGACACGAACTCTGTTCACGTAAACGCACAACCCCGGACCCGAAATCGCACAGAGTCACGCAACTCTGTTCACACAAAACACAACCCCGGCACCAAGACCCACTCAGTGCCAGTGCGCATCCCTGGCCACTAGTGCGCCATCCCTGGCCACTCCAGAATCTTAGCGGCAGTCACCCTATCCGGAGTCCGAGCCCTGCGTTATGCTGCTGCTCGCATCATGCGTGGGCCTCGCCTGGTCCTGGTCGACGCGCACCGTCGGCGGTGTGCGCACGCGAAGCGCTCCGGCCGTCGCGGCCGCGGCAGCAGGACTCGCCGCTGACGCTGCGATGGCGGCCGACGCCACTGACACTGCCGAGTATCTCTGGCGCGGTGAGGTGCCTCTCCCTGGCGCCGACTGTCAAGAGCGGCTGGTTGGCGCGTCGCCAGGCGTCGCGCTCCGCGTGCTTCGATGGTCGCCCACCGACTCTGCCGCCGCCGGCCGCCGGCCGCTGGTCTTTGTCGCAGGGTGGGGCAGTGTCTTTGAGGGATGGCGGCCGCTGCTAACGACGTGGGCGTCTCGCCGGCCGATCATCTACATCGAGACGCGCGAGAAGAAGTCCGCCGAGTTTGACTTTCGGCCAAACGTCGCCGACTTTGCGATGGCGCGGCATGCTGACGACATCGCCGCTGTGCTCGCGGCGATCGGCGTCGCACCTTCCTCGGTCGACTGGTTCTCGTCGTCGCTCGGCGCGACCCTGCTGCTCGACGGCTTCCAGCGCGGCGCACTCGACGGCCGCGCGTCAGTCATGCTCGCGCCCAACCCCGCCTTCAAGTTTCCGCTCTGGGCGAGGCCGCTGCTGCGGCTACCTCTGCCTCGGCGGGTGTACGCGCGGCTGCAGCCGCTGGGGATGTGGGCGGTGCGGCGGAAGACGAAGGAGCCCGCGCAGCGCGCGCGGTACGAGCGCTCGCTCGCGGCGCAGGACCTGGAGCGGCTCGTGCTGAGCATGAAGGCGAACCTGGGGTACACGCTCCCTGCGGCGTGCGACGCGGTGGCGATGCCGTGCGCGGTGCTGGCCGCCTCGTCCGACACGCTGCACGGGATGGAGCAGGTGGCGAGCGTGGTGGAGCGGCTGCCCAACGCCACGCTGATCGAGGTGCCCTCCAACCAGTACGCGCACGAGGCGGACGTGCTCGCGGACGTGGAGCCGTTCTACGAGGCGGTCGGGTGAGGTCCGAGCGAGAGCGCGCGGCGCCGACAGGGCGCCGGGAGGTGTACCAAGCGCCTCGAGTGCATGCTACCGAGTACCGTGGTCTCTGCGGTCGTGCACGAGGCAGAGGTCTGGGAAGTAGTCCGCATACGATACACCCGGCCACCCATACATGGACATGTGCATGTGCATGCACATGCACATGCAACATGCACATGACAACATGTCATGTGCTCGAATGTGCATGCTGTGCATATGTGCATGCAGTGTCCCATTTGCACAAAAATTGTGTGTGCAGTCGAGTCCCCACGCCGGTACGACTGACTTTTTTACACAGTGTCGAATTTCTAAAACCCTGTAAATCGGCACCCACGCCCGGGGGGCCGAATCCCCTCCCCACTCAAGTGTTTCACCGCCACCCCGAAAAATTCACAGCGCAGCGCCGAGGGTGGGGCGCTAGCTCTACACACGGCTTTAGGCCAGAGACCCCGCTCAAGCTTGCCCATCACGACCCGCCGCAGCGCTACTCGAGCTCGGCGAGGATGGCGTCCGCGCGTGCAGCGAGGCTGCCGCGAGGCTCAAGCTCGAGCCGGCCCTCCGCCTCGACGATCACCTGCGGGCGGCAAGGGCCGGAGGTGACGGCACGGCGTGAAGAGAGTAGGCGGTGCCCACGGCCAGGGGAGAGGCGGGGAGGCAACCAGAGGGGGCAGGGGCCGGCCGCGCTCCTTTCGGTCGCTGGAGTCCTCCGTCAGAAGCAGCTCGGCCCTGATCCGCGACACCTTGTCGGCAAAGGTGCGCGCTCGCGGCGGTGCCGCTTGCAGCGACGCAGGAGGCGGCGGCGGCGGCGACGGAACAGGCGGCCGCTGAAGCGCTGCAGCCGGCAGGGAGTCTGGCGGAGGCTGCGATTGCGGCGGCGGTGGCGGCAGTGGCGGCGGCGAGTGGTGGGACGGGTTAGTGAGCGGCCCCGGCACCGGCAGTGTTCTGGCCGAAGCGAGCAGCGACGAGCGGGACTGCGGCGACGGCCGTGGCGAGGGAGAGGGCTGCGGCGAGGGAGAGGGCTGCGGCGAGGGAGAGGGCTGCGGCGAGGGAGAGGGCTGCGGCGAGGGAGAGGGCTGCGGCGAGGGAGAGGGCTGCGGCGAGGGAGAGGGCGACGGCGATGGGGACGCCTGCGGTTTGGGCGTTTGATCGCCAGCGCGGCGTTCCCGTTTCTTTCCCACCACCGGTCGCGGGGAGGGAGACGGGCTGGGCGATGGCGACGGAGATAACGACGGCGAGGAGAGACCCGACATCGTTGCGCCTCGAACGCGCGAACAACAAAGAATAACTCCCGCCAGCCCGTTTTAGATGTACGCCCTGTGAGAGGCCTCTCGATTTTGAACGAGTGGGCGGTGCAGGCTGTCTGTTTACAGGCGCCGTCCGCCCGCGCGCGCGCCGACCCAACTCCGAGCACGCTCGCTCGCCGCTGGGCGGCGCGCGTCCACACTGCGTCGGCAACACGACGCAGGAGCTCGCTCACTGCTGCTGCGGCGGCGGCAGCGACGGCGACTGCGAGCTGACGGCTGACGGCTGTACGGCTGTACGGCTGACGGCTGGCGGCCGGCGGCTGCGGCGAACGGCGACGGCTCGGTTCGCGTTCGCCCCGCGAGGGTGCGACTGAGCCTGCCACGCTCGATCTGGGAGCCACTCGGCGCCAGTTCGAGCGGCGGTCGGCTCGGCCACTGCGGGTGCGACGCATGATAGAGCTGCTGGGCGCCGCATCGTGTACTACCGACCCACGCCAAGGCGCGGGGCGGTGGTGCTCGCCGGCGCTCGCGGTGCTTCGGTGCTCGAGCGCGCTCAACATTGTGGTCGTTCAGGGCGGCTCGCACAGCGCCCGCAAACACACACACACACACACACACACACACACACACACACACACACACACACACACACACACACACACACACACACACACACACACACACACACACACACACACACACACACACACACACACACACACACACACACGCAAGGGCGAGGACACGCGCAGGGGCCGCACCTCTAGCGAAGCCCACAGAGTGGGAGACTCCTATCACCGCCCTGCCACCCACGTGAGCCTTTTGGCCGCCTCTGTCAGTGTGCCCGCGATAGTGAGAGACTGCTGGTGAGAAGCCGGAGGAAGGTCGCTAGTCGAGAGAGATCGCCAGTGGAATAGGGAGTCCACCGTGCTGCGAGCCTGTCGCTGTCCCTTGTCAGGAGCAGGAGAACTAGGAGAGCGCAACCAGTAGGAGGCCCGCGCCTGCCCCCGTGCCGCCGGGTGCAACCTGTCCTATACGAGAGAGGAATCCCTGGGACCCTGTCGTGTGGGTGAACCCTGCCCAGCCCCCCTCCGTGTCGCGATGCGCTCCCCGCTCCCGTTCCCCTGTGTCCCTGATCGTCCTTCCAAGATCCTGCTCGTGCAGGTGGGGACCCTGTCCCTCTCCCACCCCTCGTTTGGCGTGCCCGTTTTATTTATTTATTTATCGCCCTGTGAGCGGGGCGGGGTGCGCACTGTACCTCTGTGTTCGTGCGTTGCCCATCTCTACGGGAGATGACTGCTCTATTTATTTATTTATTTATTCTAGTCCTGTTTGCATGTACGATAAACTGCTAACTGGGTGTAACCCGGAATGTCAAATGTGCTGCTCTTACCGGCTATACAATGTACTATTAGGTAGGGTGGGACGCCAAGCAAGAGAGAGATTTTGAGATTTTGCAAGCAAGTGGCAAATCACCCTCTTTGTCGGTCCGCGCTCGCCACCGCCGCCCGCTTTAGACCAGTTTCGCACGGAGATGGACAAGCCTCAAGCGTCCCCGCAAAGCGTCGGAAGGAATTACATGAGAGGGGTGAGCTCGGTGAGGGCTAGGGTGAGGGGCGGCCCGTCCGCGCAACGGTCCAACTGACTGGCGACACAGGCAGCCCTGTGGTCGAGCGTAAGAGGCCGTCTCCCGTGCTTGTTTGTGTTCTTGACCCAAATTGGCACGCTCAATGGACAATGCGGGCCTGCTTGTTGTTTGTTGTTGTTGATGCTGGGGGCGTCGCCCGCCACTGCAGCCAGCCAGCCACGCCTCGCACTTGGAGCACTTGGAGTGCAGTCATTAGCCTCACAGCCTCACACCAGGGCCGGGGAGCTAAATAGAGTAGTCATCTCGAGTAGAGATGAGCGACGCACCTCGCACGGACACAGAGGCACAGTGCGCACCCCGCCCCGCTCGCAGGGCGTGGCTGCATCAGCAACAGCGCACGCAGCCCGCGATTTTTTCTTCGGTAGCTGTGCTTTGAGCAACACCTGGCCACCCGTGACGAAAAACGAACGCACACCAAGCGCTAAAGCGTGAGGACACGATTTCGAATTTGGAGGTGCATCTGAGCAAAATTGGGCCCGCTCAGGTGTGAAAAAAATTTATGAGGGTCAATCTGCCGATTCGATCCGGAAGCCACTCGACCACCGAGCGGCCGACGGCCGAAGTAAGCAGTAGATGATGGTCTAGAGGTAGAGCGTTCAATCAGCGACCGATACCCGTAACACATTACCGGGGGAATTAGACACAACAGATACGCACAACCGACGCCCGAAGTGCCAAGAAGGACGTCATCAGTACGAAACCTCAGAAGGCCATGGGCGCCGAGAGAACATTCCCCCGAGAGCAAAAAAGAAAAAAAAGCACAACCAAACCTCCTTCCCAGGTTACCCCTGCCAAATGTCGCCGCTCTCGGGGCATGCTATCCTGTGTAAGCAGGGGCAGTTGGGGGAGGGGGGCAGTCTGGAGGGAGGGTGTAGAGGATGTAGAGTGTAGAGCGCTGTAGAGCTGTAGAGATGTAGAGCGCTCTGGAGCGCTGTAGAGCTGTAGAGCTCTACATCCGCCGCGGGACGAGGCGCCTGCGTTGTAGAGCGATGTAGAGCGCGATTTTGTTGTAGAGTTTGTTGTAGAGGCTCTACAGCCAAACCGCCGGGAAGGCAGTGACTCAAAGAGGTCGAGCCGCGCTAATGGGGTGTCTCCGAGCTTAGTGAAGCTCTGATGGACAGCCCTGACTATCCCTGACACACAGAGAGTCCCTCTGACGGCACACAACACCCTATAACTGCGTCATGACCAGCCTGCCATGTGTCGCCGGTGCCGCATTCGTCGCTGTGCTTCTTTAGCAGGCGGTGGACTGTCGGCTGCGAGGACGGTCGCATTTGCGCGAGGCGAGGCGAGCATTCAGACGCGTTGCATGCGCCATGACTCGCGCCAGCGCGTGCGGGAGCTCCTGGCTGAGCGTTGAGTCCAGGCGAGTTGCGCTGGCCACGATCGCTACGCCGAGCCGAGCTGACGCGCCGAGGCGCCGGCCAGTCGCAGCCGTGAGGCATGCCATAGCAGCAGAGGCACCTGCCACCCATTGGGCGGGCAGACAGAAGGCCAGGGCAGCACTGGCAAGTGCAACGCGCCTCATGTCGGAGAGCGACCGTGCCTCGTTCGCCGCTTATGATGTAGAGTTTGTTGTAGAGATTTCACGTTGTAGAGCGCCTCTACATCGCTCTACAACGCAGGCGCCTCGTCCCGCGGCGGATGTAGAGCACTACAGCTCTACAGCGCTCTCCAGCGCTCTACATCTCTACAGCTCTACAGTGCTCTACACTCTACATCCTCTACACCCTCCCTCAGGGGGCAGTCCCTCTGGTCTGATACTGGTGTGGTTCTGTCCCCAGCGTCGGAGGCAAGGGCGAAGCTAAGAATATTTAATTTTTTTGAGCAACACCTGGCCTGATTGAGCAGCTCGCCGCCGTTGTCACTCAACGTGCGTCATGCGTGATCGAGCTTGAGGGAGGAGCTCCGCTAACGAATCGGCCGGCAACCCAACGCCGCCGCCCATACCCGCCACCCACATCCCACAAAGCGCCTGCTCTACTATCCCATATACATACCAACCCTCTCCACTTTCCACGGATCGTGCCCGTGATAGCACCATCACTGCCGCCGTCCTGGTTTTGAACGTGGCAGCTTGACTCTAGGAACTCGGTAGTTGTGACCCCCCTGCCTGAAGTGAGTGAGGAGCAGGAGAGAGAACTCGAGAGAGAGAGAGCTTTTCGGGTGTTGTTGGTGTACGCAATAACGGGACAGGGTGCTTGTTCAGATTTGGCCTTTATACGTTATTCTTCCGATTCTATATTCTTTTTCGAAGCGATTTTCAGCGATTTCAGCGCACAGCGGGAATATAAAGAATATTTGAGAATATAGGCCCGATTTGGAGCTGTATCCTTGGCATATTCGAGAATATAGACCCTGTTTGGGACAAGAATACGGAAAGAATACGGAAAAAGAATATTAGATAGTACTGGCTGGGCGAGCGAGAAAAACGTATAAAGGCCAACGGTGTTCTCTCTGTCTCCCACTTCTGGCTCTTAGCATGAGCTGCGCCCTGTGTCCGACCCCTTTTGCGCAGCACCTTAAACTTTTAGGCCCTCCAAATTCGGGTCGGAGCGTAGCCGTAGGGCGTACGTAGCGGAGTGGGCCCCGAGTTTGAAAAGGGCGACGGACGCTTGCGTCCTAGCCTCCAACAACGCCTCCCCGGCGCAGAGGGGCCCCCGGAGGGATGCTCAACCGGTCCACGCCACGCCGCTTGCGGCGGTCCTCTGCTCCTCTACCAAGCTGCGCGCGCGCGCGGCGCGCCGAGTTATTTCTTCGGTCCCGCTTGAGCTCTCCACCGGTTGTCGCTCCTCTGAATCTCTGCCCCTTCACGGGCCCGCCCACGCGGCGCTCAGAGCTCGATCGCTCGCTTGCAGGTGTGCCACACGAGCCGCGCCAGCCTGATGTCGAAGGCCTTCGAAGCTCAGTTCCAGAGGTCCGGTCCGGCGTCGCCGCGGCCGGAGCGCGAGTCTGCGCCCGTCGATGCCGCCTCCGCCCTCAAGCGCTTCACCGAGGGTGGGGAGAAGGCCGACACGATGAGCGGCAAAGAGATGTACGCCATCGTCGACATGCTGAAGCGCGAGCACGGAGCGGAAGCGGCCGCGCTCGAGGCGTCGCTTCTCAAGGTGAAGCGCCAGCTCGATAAGAAGATCATGCTGCTTGATTGGGTGGGAGAGCACGTCAGCCCCGCCGCCGCAGTAGAGAAGCCTCGGCGGGCTTCGCTCGCCGACTGCACAAACACAGCGCCGCCGGCCGCAGAGGCGGCGGCGCCGCTGGCGACGGCCGCGGACGCCATCAAGCGGCAGCAGGCGTCACGCTCCTCCGCCACCCAGGAGGCTGCGCCGGCCGCCGCCAAGCCTCCGGCGGAGGACGGTCGCATCGCCCGGATGGCTGCTCTCTTTGTCGAGGGCAAGGACGCCCTCTCAATGACGGGAGGCGAGATGTTCGAGGTGATCGGTTGGCTCAAGAGGCTCGGACACGCGGAGGTCGAGGACTCGCTGATTCGCGTCCGGCTGCAGGGCGACAAGAAGACGCAGGCACACCTCTCCCGCCCGCCACACGCCTCAGCCCGCCCGGCGGCGATGCGACGGCCGAGGCCGCGCCGCGCCACCCTCACCCCCACCCCCACCCCCAAACACTCGCAGCTGGTCTCCTACCTCAAGAGGAACTGGGCGACGCTGCCGACCGCCGCCGCCGAGCCCGCCGCCGCCGCCGCCGAGCCCGCCGCCGCCGACACCGCCGCCGCCGACACCGCCGGCGTCGAGGCTGCCGCCGCGCTTGCGCCGGCCCGCTTGGCGCGGCCGCCAGCGGCGCCGCTCGGCGACGCTGCGAGTCTGGAGCGGGCGGACGGCGG